AAAAAAGGCCATCAAATTTTAAACTAGCTTAAATGACGTACAAGTGTATAAAGATTCATCATCAATAGATAATAGGAATAAAAAAAGACATTCAACATAGTGTCATCAAAATTGAAGGTCGTGAGAAAATTGACAATGTAGAAAAATAAAAGTGCGAGGATAACATAAAGATTAAAAGGAAAGAAAATAAACTATGCAATCAATATAAGAAAAAAAAATGATTCATCTATAATTACGTATTTATATAGTAATTTGACATTTTTTTTCTATCTATTTTACTTTAGGGCATTAGTATATTATTTCATTCTGTTTATATTATGACCTTATTGTAATATTGTATTTTAATTTGCAATAGAGACTCATCCTACTATTCGTTTTATTTCATTCCTACAATAGCATGTATACTAAGCCAATCACTTTTTCTTACTAAAAAATTAATCGGCACAACATTTATAATCACGTGCATCATACGTGCACTTTACTAGTCTATAACTCTCTTAAAAGGAAGAGTTGTTTCTTGAAACTTTTGAATTGCCAAGAATACCCTCATAAAAAGATAAGTTATAAAAAGATAAGTTTTAAGGTTATTAATGTAATCTTTTTTATTAATGTTAGGAAGTTACAACTTCCATTTATTATCTTTTATTTTTTATGTTTAATTATATCTTTAAGTTCTTACACATACAAAACATTACCTACGCAAATCCATATATTTTAAATAATTTTTTATTCTTAATTATATTATTCTGAATTAATGTACATATGACGTTAGGTTTCGATTTGATTATTCTAAAAGTAGTTTTAAAATGTAAGAGAAAAAATTATTTTAAGATTTTTTAAATATAAAATATATGATATTTCATAAGTATAAAATATTAATGCACCACTACAAGTATCATCTTTAATTTCTAAATATCATATTGTTTACCATACAAATTTTTTGTTATAGTATTAAAAAAATTAAAAAGGAACAATTTAGTGAACATGTATATGTTTAAGAATGATTGAATCAAAGATAATTATTCAACATACAAAATGTCAACTTTCAATGGAAAAAAAATTATTTATTAAGTAAAAAAGATATGATCTTAACAAAAATAATCGTTTAAATGATTCACTAAATCAAAATGCATAATATGATTTAAATTTACCTGTTTGTTAATAATATGTATAGTATAAATGTTCTTATATAATAATGTGTTACATAAATTAAAATAGCATTTACTGAATTGTAATATAAACAAAAATAGATTAATTACATAATAAAATAACTAAAATTCTACTTTAAATGTTAAATTTTACAATACATGTACTTATTAGAAAATAATTACAATTAAAGTTAATAAAATAAAAATAAATAGCAAATTTACTTTTAATTTGTTGTCTTTAGCATATCTTATTTATAAAATCATTCATAAACTAATTTCAAATCACTTCTAAAAAGTAGGGAAAATAAACTATATAAAATAATGACGAAATAAAAATAATGTTAAGAGAAAAACAAAATATGAAAGAATCATTATTTTATAATTCATTAAAACTAAACTTATTAAATTTTCACATTTATGATAGTCTTGAAAATCCATGAATGAAGATAATGCATGTATGACAATTTTAGAAGATGCGACAATAATTTATGTTGGACAAAATATATAGATAAATGGGTATCTTTAATCAATAAAGATGTTATTGTTCCTAAGCTTTTTCATGTATTTTTTTTTAAAATAATTACGACTTTAAAGATATTTTCAAATATTTATGTGTCTCTTATGTCATTTATCTAGGTATTATGAAATATTATACTTGCAAATATAACTAAACTTACAACCACTATAATCAAAATAATTGAGAACGAATTATTCAAACATAACGTTTTAGCTTCCAATCGACAATAAAAAATTATCATTACAAATTATAGTTATAATAAATTGGAGTTATCTTTCAAAGAGTATGATGCAAAAGGATGACATTAGGAAACTACATTTGATGATGATCATTATTTTAAGCAAAAGTAGGGAAAATAAACTATATAAAATGTTGACGAAGATATAAAAATAATGTTAAGATAAAAATAAAATATGAAAGAATCATTATTTTATAATTCATTTAAACTGAAATTAGTAAATTTTCATATTTAGGATAGTCTTGAAAATCCGGGAATAAAGATAATGGATGTATGACAATGTTAGGAGATGCAACAACAATTTATGTTGGAAAATATGTATATATAGATGAGTATATTTAATCAATAAAGATGTTTTTATTCCTAAACTTTTTCAAGTAAATTTTCGTTTTGAAATAATTATGACTTTAAAGACATTTTCAAATATTTATGTATCTCTTATGTCATTATGACTAGGGAATAATTATATATATCTATGTATTATGAAATATTATACTTACAAATATATTTAAACTTGCAATCACTATAATCAAAATAATTGAGAACAAATTATTCAAACATAGTTTGTTAGCTTCCAATCGACAATACCATTATAAATTATAGATATAGCAAATTTGAGTTATTTTTCAAAGAGTATGATGCAAAAGGATGACATTAAAAAACTATATTATGATGACAATAATAGTGATCATTATTTTAAGCACAATGAAGATACCATTAAATAATAAAATCAAAGACAATATAAATTTATTTAGCATTTACATTTTCACTAGGAAAAATATTAATTTTATTTTGGGTTTTCAATCCAATGTTTTTTATTTAATTTAATTTATCATAGAGTTTAGTTAATAGTATTAAATACTATATTTCATTATTCAATAAAATACACTTTTTTTTGTTAAACTAATTGAAAGAAATTTATATTATACTATTAAATATAGACCTAATACTAAAAACAATGTGAAAAAAAATATCACGTGCGTGCAACTTCCTAGTTCAAGAAAAAGTCCATTCAACTTTCATAATTCACCTTGTATTTTTTCACAATCAAAACTAAAAGCATTCATCCACCTTCCCAATTCTTTACTAACACAACAAACTATAGCTATTTGCTACAGCCAGCAAGTTTAAGAGCCTCCAGCAAAGGAATCGCGTTTTCCTCCTTCTCGCCTTTCCGCCAGACCATGAACTTGGAAGCATACACACTGCTTCCACTCCACATCCTCAACAAAGACAGAGGAGAATCCGTACGTTCACCATGCGGACCTTTCATAAGCCAGGTCTCGTTTTCCAGGTCAGCCTCCATTTTCTGATCGGTTGGGAGATGAAGATGATCATCACTCTCAACATCAATCACCACAACATTCGGATAACGTCCCTTTGCCTTGGCCTGCTTGTCATGCTGAGCAAATTCTTCTGTTACCATGATGAAACACGCTACTATATCAGAGGAGTACATATTGGGTAAAAGAAAATTCATCTTAAAAACTGTGTGTTTCGTTTGCTGTAGTGAAATGTTAACATCATATCGTGATTTATAAATTTTTAATTTTTATTTTTTACGCAAATAAAAGAGATATTGCTATGTAGAAATCAAACTTGTATTATTTATCAAGTAATGGGGCAGAATGGATACCTAATGCAGTGTCTGGTGAGCCTAGTTTGTCTCCTTTTACGTCACCATCATCAGGCTCGTATACATCCCGCATCACTGTGGGCACATTTTCGAGCAATCGTGACTGCTCAGAGGGAGATTGCAGTTTCCGTCTCTTATCCAGTAACTCAAAGTAAGTGGAGACAATATAGTTAAAGCCACAAACCATAAAACATCAATGAATGCTGACCAAACCAGACAAAGGATAAGAAATCAAAATTGCGCAATTCCATACTTTATAGCGTAAAGACTTGAAAAAGGAGTATGTTCTGGATAGTTCAAATCTCACTCATCCTCGAGGGTTCTAAGTTGAAATTTAGTTTTTCAGTAGGAAGTCACCTGATTGTATCATTGCAAATAAGTTTCACTGAGATTTACTACAGTGGACCAGGTATGCAAATTGCAACAATGATGAGCAATTATTATCTTATTTATGCACTTAAACTCATATCGTATTATTTATGGAGGCACGAAAGGAGTTCGTTCATGAAATGAAATTTAATCTAATCTTCAATGATACAGAAACTCATAAAAAGGATATTCTCCTCTCCATCCTTTTTCATTTGCTAGATCAGAGCGATTCTTCAGCAATCTCAGCTCTTTATGGATCCACTGCAATACATATCAGACGTAGCAAAACAAATTTTAAAACATGATAACATTGAAACTCAAAATTTGAATATCATTTTAAACAGCCAGTGCTTATAATGAAAGAAAAAAGATGAGAAGCATACATAGTTTGTAACATCCTTGTGAATGGCATTCACTCTCTGTTGGAGAAAATCCTGTAAAAGAAGATATTATAGTTAATGGGTCTAAGAAAATCACAACTCAACATGAAACTCACCGAAACTATCGTGCATTATAAAGCGACATTTGTATTTTTAAAAGAAGTAAAAGAAGTGGTTGTGAAATAGCTTATAGTGGGGTTATGTTCTTGAGATGAGTCATAGCTAATGCTATTAGACGACAAGTAATGGTTGCAAATATCTTAATTGCAACCAATTTTTTTTTTTTTTTTCCTTTGGTTTTTCTATAATTTTTTACTTACTCATTTTTTTTTCCATTCATTAATAAGATTTAATAAGCGCATATGGATCAATATCAAAATTCTAATCAAACATTAACCGTCTGTGGGAACTGTATTCATATAGTGTTGAAATTGATATTCGAAAGAACTCCAAACAGGAATAGTCGCAAGCTTTCATAAGCTTCCACTCGACTCTACCAAACTAACTTGTTCTCGAAATATCTAAACTACATAAATCAGCAAAATGACCAACATACTGCAGATTAGGGAGTATATTTGGCGAATGAAGTTATTATTACTCACCACCGTAGGCCTCTCAACTTCACCAGCCAAAATTTTATTTTTCAGTTCTTCACATTCTTCCTGCAACAAGCAAGTTAAGCGTCAATTGTTTCCTTTATTAAATGCAGGTCCTACAGCTGGTAGGCGATTTTTTTCCAAATTAGTCTACCAGTATTTTAAACACTGCAATTGCCATGCCAATTACAGTATGTTAATAGTGATATATTTTCTGGCGTAATTCAAATTCGCTGATACTATTAGGAATCGATGAAAAATTAGTATTTGAAATGGAAACATAATACAAATAACCAAATATAAGGAAAACCCTGAAGGAAATCACGTCATTATAAGTTCTTTGTCTGAGGCCAAAGAACCAATTATTCGCTGAGGCCAACTCGAGGAGAACATCTTGACTGACAGGATATATGAGAAACATAGAAAATCAATTTCCTCTTGGAACCCCACTAACTGTTTAACCATTCAGATAGTCATAGGTCAAATGTAACACGCAAAAAAACCGCCACACCTACCTCCTAAAAGAGGAAGAAGATTAATTAAAAATCTATAATTTAATTCTCTCAGAGAACTTATGCAGCTACTACCTCAATTGTGTGAATTTACCGTGCTAGTTTCAGCTCTGATATTAGGAATATCTTGTGTAGAACATTAGAAAGGTAAGTTTGATAAGAAAAGGTAAAACAATCAAGGAAGAAAATAGATACCTCCGTGAAATCTTCATCTGCAAGCAAACTTATGGGAATTTCTTCAGGCATAGCTGAAAGTAAAAGGATAGCCTCTGTACTGTTTTCGTCTGTCGGAAGTGCTTTTACACCTGCCAAAAAACAAGTTCAAAACAAAAGTGTTAAGAGTTTGGTAAATCATCATGCTTACGAATGTTTAGTGGTGTTCAGTGTAGGGTTTCTTTCGAAATAGTTTATCAACTGACAATAATTGATTCATCGTGTTCTCAAGACTAACCTTTGACTTGAATGAGCTGATGAGACTTCCTTGACCGATAATCGTACGGCTCGGATTTGACCCGCACAAAGCATCCAGTCACCTTTTCTTCAAATGATTCAGGTTCTTTAAGCATTTCCTTCAACACACCCCTCCTCAGGTAAACCAGTTTTATGTTCTCAACCCCAATGCATGCAAAACGACTCAGTGGCATTTCAATTTCTTTGGTTTTTTCTCGAGGAATTTTCATTGAGCCAATCTTCCTTTGCCTCTTGCACGCATTTTGAGTTTCTCTATTATTGTCTTCCGAATTGTATCCAAGCTCATCCTCATCCGACTCTTGATTCTCGGCAAAGTGGTCCTCTACAAGGTCAAAAACCTTGTATTTACCTATCTTCTTTTTTCCGAAAAGACGACGCAGTCGTTCATCGCAGATTATCGACAGCCTTTTCCCTGGATGTATTAAATTATTTTCTTTCACGTACTCGTTCACAATGGAAGTTACGTCGTACGGGGACAGCTTTTCAGTTAAGTTTTTGCCAATTGAATTTAAAAACTCAATGAGGGATCTCGAGGCCCAGCCAATGAACTCCTTTTTATTGGATTTAAAAGGCCCCTGCTTTGTGAATCTCTGTCTTTTTGATCTATTACAAGTTCCCTTCTTTTTGTTCTCGTCCTCAGGATCATCATAATCAGATAACCGCTCTTCTTCATAGTCCTCATCTTCATCCGATTCTTCATCATCGTCATTAGGTTGATAGTTCTTTTTCGCCTTCACCCGATTCTTTGCAGCGTAAATATCTCCCAGCTTAAATCCTTCTTTCTTTTTTATTATGTCATAATATTCCATGTGTAGACCCTCGACAGTCTCCCTGTCTGTAAAATCCACCTTCTCCTGGAGACACAGAAGAATTTAGACATTTAAGTTGCAGAAATTTTTGTCCAAATTGAAGAAGAAATTTGAGCACAGATGGGAGACAGGCTCCTTTATTTCTCAATGTGCTCAAACCTTACAAAAAATTACGTTCTGCCTTATTGGAATCTAGATATGTATGGAGCAGGAATACAGAATTACAAAATTAATGTTTTGTTACTGTAACAGAAATAAGAACAGCTAGACCAGAACTAGGGAATCGATGTTAAAGTTTTCAAGATATAACAGCATTACGTGAATAGGCAAGGTTGGATAAAACAAAAGATTCAAAACCCGATAATAAAGATTTGAATATCATATCTAGTCACACAGGCTATTTATACAGACCATCTTCAATATTCGAGTTTAATCCAAATTTAGTCGACTGAAAAAGAATTCACAGCACTCATGAAAGGTTTCACGTACAGAGTTTGAGCCATTTTAATTTTATCTTTCAGAGTTGTAGCTATGCATATCAGAAGGATGAACTCAATCTGATGTTAGCTAGAAATTCTGGAAAATCGGTACGGGAAAAGGCCAGATAAGGCATCAAGTTCAGGCCCAAGTCGGCTTGTTCATCGAAAACAAAAAAAATAAAAAATAAAAAATAAAAAAATTGAATAAAGTATAGCAGTCTACAAAATATGATTACAAGTCAACAGCTCCATCATACTAAGTAGGAAAAAGAAAAATAAAGGACCTCAGTGTAAAATATATGTCAAACTAAGTAAACAGTCTTCTAAGATCACTGACAATATACTACTGATATGGCGACAGATATAATGCAACACCAAACCTACTACAATCATCAGAAAACGACCACATATTTGCCAAATTATTGCTCGAAGCACAAAGAAAATGGAAAAAAATTTCATCAAGTTTATGAATTTATGTTAAACATACCCCATCAGAGTCGCAATCCTTGTTCTCTTCAATAAGCAAAGCAAGCTTTAGGCACTCTTTGCAAAATCCATGTTTCCCTTCAATTAATAAAATGCGCCTAGCAGGAAGACATTTTCGGCACACGGCATTTGGGCAAGTGTAGCAACGAAGGTAAGCACATTTACTTCGGTGGCAACGGAAGCAATTATGCCAAGCTGAAAATCAAGTTATTCACATAAGTTTCATGCTATCTGCGAGTTATTATGACGTAATGTAATGGTGTGATCTGTGAAAGATACGTTGCCCAATTGTTCGAAGAAATAAAATGGATGAAAAGGGTGTTGTGTTGTTATCATGAACTTATGTTTGTACATGCACCCAATGATATATGCACTTTCTATAAATGATGGCCACCTTAAACTCATTTCCACCTGTTTCTGACAATATGACACTAAGATCAGTGCGAGAAAGTCAAGATTACGCCAATACTCGGAAAACAAAAGAGATGTTAGGGAGTCTTTGGAATTCTATTAGCAGTGTACACAATAAAACATACATTTTTTTAACTGATATTCATAAGATAAAGATAATAATATTGAGATGATAAGATTGCTAGCTGACATAAATAGTTAATTGGTAATTTATTTAATTCTTTTAATAATTTATGCTAAGTTTCATTAATTAGATATACTTTATTACATATTTCTTTCACATCAAGAACTTTTACATGCGCCCATAAAAATTGTGATATTCTTTTATGGGATTAGACAGACACCTTTCACTATTTTCTAGATCGGTTGGTCTTAGGTTAGGCCGCCCTAACCATTAGGCCGGCATACTTTTGTTACAAATACGCACTTTCAATAGAAAACATCATATTTAAAAAATAACATAATCATAAGTATGACATTTGATTGTATAAGCATGCATTTCTGTTCAAATAGTATGACGGGTCGACCCGCATAACGGTTAGGCTGCCTCACACAAAAATTTGTGCTTGCGGATATAGAGTAGCTATGCTTTTATATAAGTATGTCCTTTATACTTTGTCCTTCATTTATTTCTTTGTTTGTCTCGAAATTTCTTCCTAACATCAAAATCATGGTCCATACATAATTACATGTTAAACATCCATGCAACATGCAAAATGCTAGTGCATGTCGACTAGTAGCCATATCTGAGGAATATTTAAGATGGTAATGTAAAAGTAAAGGTTTCACCACGTCTAGCTAATATTCCATGAGAATTTGCACCTAGTATCCCCAAAGATCAGTGATCAAATTCATCAACATCAACATCAACATACTCAGTATATTCCCAAACAGGTTGGGGTCTGGGGGGTCAGTTGTACGCAGACCTTACCCTTGTAAAATACAAGGAGGCTGTTTCCATAGCGACCCAAGGTGCGTTGCGTCGTTTGATATATTTTTTCTAGAAACTTCACTAATAGAAGAAGCACTAGAATTTAATTGAGCCATTTTGATCTAGTCCATTATTTGCACGATGCCAGAAGAATTGTCAACACTGACTCTTCCAACTCCATTTGCAATGCTCACAAAGATCAGTGATCAAATGTGAGTTAGAAATTATTTAGTACCCAAATCACTTATTCCGAATAGGCCTGATTTCTTATCTTACCCTAGGAGACTTAATCAAACATATAATTCAGATATGATGGCCCAGATATTAACTGAAATAAATAATTTGATTATAATTTTGACGTTGTAATTGTTTAGCCTCCTAGAGCCAACAAAATTAATTGTTCAGCTCCTAATATCCACTGTGGGATTAATACATTTTTCCCAGAATATGTATATCAGCTCATCATTTTCCTCATGATTATCTTGAATTGAAATATTCTACAAAATCATTATTATAGAATCTATTTCTGTTAAGACAACTTTGCAGCAAAAAAAAATTCCCGTTTTTGTTCATTTACTGAGGGGATTGGGGAACACTACAAAAAAAGCAAACAAAAAAATGCAGATAGCAAAGAGGGAGAGAGAGAGAGAGAGAGAGAGAGAGAGAGAGAGAGAGAAGCAAATTAAATAGTCAAGGATTTCTTTCTATGTTTGTTTATCGATTTCCTACTACATTCGATAATGGTTTGGTTTTAGTATATATGTTTCTAATCTCTAAATTTCATGTTCCACAATTTAAGTTTCAACTGTGTGCCATAAACAGTCTCTATAGGGGAACATCATAGAAAGAGTTTGGTTCATTAACCATCTTCTTGTATCCACCCTCGTTTATCCCACAGGGTTGATCTACCTCTATTTAAGTTTTGTCATCAAAATCAACTAAACACGCCTAGTAGTTATCAGTAAATCCATATCCCAAAACTTGTCAAACTGCTTATCAATCATTTTATATCGTACAAAAAAAAAAAA